AGGACCCGAAGGAGGACTCGAAGGACGGGAAGAAGGACGACAACTAGAAGGAGGGCAAGAAGGAGGACAAGAAGAAGGACAATAATGATAATAAGAAGAAGGACAAGAAGGATGAACATAAGAAGGGTAAGAAGGGTAAGAAGCGCGACGCCGACGCGTCCTCGACCTCAGACTCCTCGTCCTCAGACGACTCCTCGGCCTCGAAGAAGAAGAAGCCGAAGGCAGGCTGAAACAGAGCACAGGCTTGAGCACAGGCCGCAACATACTTCGACAGCTCCGACGCAGGAGCCAGCCCGCGCGCTCCTGTTCCCGTGGAGCTGCCACTTGTTTGATTTTGGACTGCAACAGTCGCGCGCTGGCGGCGTCGCCTCCGTTCTCGCAATGGGACGCGCGCCGCGTTCTGGCCTGTGCAGTACACGGCACCTTGCGTACAGATAGGAACACAGTCCTCCGTCATCCCTTCGTCGCCATCCGTCGCACTTGGCCCACGGCGCAGGCAAGGCGCAGAGTCAGGATGCTGACCTTTCCAAAGGGCACCCTTGCATCCCGCGCTTTCCGTTCCGAAGCTGGGGAGCTGGATAAACAACAGATACCATGCCGCCAAGGCCCTTGCATCCTCACGGCGCTCTGTAGGGGCGGGCCAGGATGGGGATGCAGCAGGGTAGGGAAGACACGGGAAGCAACGCTCCGAGGAGCGGCCGCAGGGGGAGGAGGAGGACGGAGGAGGGGCCCGCAGGCGTTTCGGTTCACTGAAACTTAGCGGGCCCGCAGGGGCGACGCTGCCGTCAGCGGGCCTCCGCGGCGATGGCTGCCTCGGGCGGCAGCGGTCGCGACAGGGACAAGGTTCTCTTCTATAAGTGGGGCTGTTACCTGCAGGGTGACGGGTCGAACAACGACAAGATCAACAAGAAGCTGAGGGGGACCTGCAGCAATGGCATGGCCAGGGTGGCAAAAGGGGCCCCGACCGCAAAAGTGACGCTGGAGAAGGTAACGAAGAACAAATGTGTGTTGACGTGGCCAAAGCCAGTTTCGCATGACACCTGCACGCGGCTCCTCAAGATTGCGCTGGGCGCCAACTGGAAAGACTATGTGAGCAAGCCTGCGGGGGCGCCAGGGTGCGCGAAATGGGCTGGAACAGCTAACGCTGCAGAAGATGAGCCAGCTGTCGCCGAGGGCCACGGTGTCGCAGGAGAAACCCTAGAGGACGCGCTGGGGAAGGTGCTCGTTCCCGCCGCGGACGGGGTATCGGAGCCTACGCCACCGGCAGCTGCTCGTCGCGGGTCTGCTGGTCCGAGAGCGGTGTCCCACGACGAGGGTCGTGTGAATCTACTTGCACTGAAGCTCGACGCGGTCGGGCACGCGTACCAAAACAAACAGAAGGGCAAGTGCGAGGACCTGCCGCTCGAGTACGACGTGCAGTGGGAAGGAGGGGAGCTCGGTCAGGGCTCTTTCGGCAAGGTCTACTTGGGCACGCGACGGGGCGACAAGACTGGCCTTGCGATCGAGATGCTGCGGGGCGACCCCAGCGATGCGCAGAAGGGGTTCAATGCGGATGCCGTCGGAGGGGCTCTGGATGAGGTCACGCGCCACGGTGCTGTGGGCACGCACCCGCGTCTCGTTCGCTTACTCGACGTGGGCCTTTTCAGGAGGTTGTGCCCAGGAACTGCAACGGTCCCGAAGAAAGCGCACCGAGAACTGCAACAGTCAGTACCAAGGATAGATTGGAAATGGACGGAGCACATCGGCCTCGTGCACGAGTTGTTCGAGATCGATGTCCGCCAATTCCTCCAGAAGTCCTCCTTCACGCAGACAGGGGCGCGCCACGTCCTGAACAGCGTTCTCGAAGGGCTCCAGTACATGCACGACAGGGGCCTCATTCACTGCGACATCAAGCCCGCAAACATCCTGATGCGAGGATCGCCGCAGACGCGCGGCTGCTTCGAGAAGCAGGCACTTGTATCACGTGAGCTTGGCGAATGGGATCCCGTCGCGCCGTGCCCAAAGAGCAAGCTGCAGTTCGACTGGCAGATCCCGAGTTCCTTCGAGGCGCTCGTCGTCGACGTCGTCGTCGCCGTCGTCGTCGCCGTCGTCGTCGTCTCCTCCTCCTCCTCGTCTCGTCCTCGTCGTCCTCGTCGTCCTCGCCGTCCTCGTCGTCCTCGTCGTCCTCGTCGTCGTCCTCCTCGTCCTCGTCGTCGTCGTCCTCGTCGTCCTCGTCATCCTCGTCATCCTCGTCGTCCTCGTCGTCGTCCTCCTCGTCCTCGTCGTCGTCGTCCTCGTCGTCCTCGTCATCATCGTCATCCTCGTCATCCTCGTCGTCGTCGTCGTCATCCTCGTCATCATCGTCGTTCCTTCGACTAAGATCCCGAGTTGTCAGGGCTCACATGGAGCTTTACCACAGTATGTTAGAGCTCCCAGGGAGCTCTAACATAGCATGTTAGAGTTGCAAGCAGCTCTAACATGCCATGTTAGAGCTCCCTGGGAGCTCTAACATGGCACGTGATACCATAGAGCTCCCAGGGTAGAGCTCCCAGGGAGCTCTAACATAGCATGTGAGAGCTCCGATGGAGCTCTAACATAGCGCGTTAGAGCTCCCATGGAGCTCTAACATAGCATGTTAGAGCTCCGACGACGCCCTCATAGACGAGGTCAGAGCTCAGCTTATCTCACTAGCCTTCACGTTGGGTCTCACACCGAGTTCTAACGAGGGAGGTTCCACCCTTCCCCCGAGATGCCGTCGTCGTGCCCTCTATCCCGCCCTTCCCTCCAGGGGGCGCTCAGTCGCCGTCGCTCCCCTCTCCTCCATCCGCCCCTCTCCGCAGGTGGTGCTCGCCGACCTCGGCAGTGTGGAGATGGCGAATCCCCGCGGCAGGTTGAAGAAGAAACTGCGCTACAGCCCGACCTGCGATGACCTCGGAGTACGCACGCCCGCTTACAGAGCGGTAGACGTTTTCTTGGGGAACCAGCGCTACTCAGAGGACCTGGACACGTGGTCCATCGGGTGCCTGATGGCGGAGTTGCACACGCGCAAGGTGTTGTTCCAACCAGAGCCATGCGGCGCGCCCGGGCATCCTCCAGGGGGGCACCCGAAAGACTCCGTGGTTTTCTGCAGGGTGGTTCAAGCGGTCGGGCGAGGATTGGCTGAAACAGCGAAGGCACTCGACGGCCGAGGACGCTGGCCCGTTGACGAACTTGCAGACTGCCCCCCAGACTTGTTGAAGGCCGCCGAGAGCTGCCTGCTTTGGCACCCTGGCGCCAGAGCGACAATCAGTCGTCTAAGGGCTCGTTGCTCCGCTTCTTGCAGAGAGACCCGCGCTGGCAGAACTTGGCCGAGGAGCGCCTGGACACGGGGGCGACCGTCTCCAAATGCGTCCGAGGCGACGAGGCGGCAAAGGGCTTGAAAACAGAGGTCGCAGGCATCGTGGACGACGAAAGCCCCCCGAAGTGCCGCAGCCTCAACAAGGACGGGAATTTGCAGATCATCCCCTCGCCCCACATGGCCGCCTTCGTGCGAGCGCTGCGGAAGAAGATGCGCCCGCGGCTGCAACAGCTGGGAGACAAAATGCGCGTGGCTGTCAAAGCCGACGGCATGCCACCGGCCATCGTCGAGCAGAACGGAAAACCCATCATGACAGAGCACTTCGCCGACAACGCGTTCGCGCACGCATCGATCCAGCTCATGCAACCAGGCGCGCGGGACGATGGTTGGCACACAGATGGCGGATGTTCCCTGTTGCACGCGGCCGTGGCGATTTTCGGGGCGCGCTCCGTGCAAGTGAGGATCCCGTGGGTCCTGGGAGCACATGATGGGGCGTCACCCTCGAGCACAGCCTCCTGCGGAAGGGTCGCCACCCTCGAGCAAAAGCCTGGGTCCTTCTACATGGGCACCCTGTCCTCCCTCGAGCACAATGCGCACCGCCACGCCTCCGCGGACTGCCAGGACTCTTTCGCGACCCACCGCGAGCTGCAACAGCGCGTAGACGACAGCAGGCTGCAGATCGCCGCCATGATCCGCTCCGACGTCTTTCGGGAGTTCAGGGCGCGCACGATCGACGCCGCGCCTGGCCCGAAGGAGTTCTTCAACGTCGTGAACCACGTCGTGGCCGATCACCTGGCACGGGTCCCCGTGGCGCTGCCCGACCTCACGGAGGTGCTTGACGAAATGCGGTGGCCCGCTTCCACGGAGGCTGTGGGGCTTTCCGATTAGTACTCAGCACGGCCCGCGCAGTCCGACAGAAGGCTATCGTCATCCTCCTCATCATCAGCATCATCATCTTCATCGCCATCATCATCGCAATCATCGACTTCATCATCATCGTCACCATCATCGTCATCAGCATCAACATGTTCACGCCGCCATCATTGTCATGTGGGTCTTGATTTAATCATCATCATCACTACATGATGATGGCGATGACGAGGAGATGATGGATATTATGAGGATGACGATGATGAGGAGATGGTGATGATGATGGCGATGACGCGGACGATGATGAATCTCATGACGACGATGATGATGACGATGATGATGACGACGATGCAAAAACAGGTTGAGTCGGTTGAATCCGAAAACCCCGCCCTAAATGAAGCCAGTCTTGAAAAACTCTTGGGGTGTTATCGGCAGGTTTTCGGGGCTGTCTTGGGGCTTCTCAGCCATCGTTGGGGCTGACTTGGGTTATCTTCAGCGCTCAAAAGCCCACTGGAAATGAAAGGGCGAGACGACAAAAACATTGAACAACTGGAGAGTCTTACCTCTCGGGGCATCCTTGGACGGCTCTCTGGCCGTCTCGTGGCGATCATAGGTCCTCTTGGAAGCATGCTGGAGGCAATCGTGAGCCAAGTTGGACCAACATCCGCGATCGGACGTTCTCACCGCTCGCGGTTCCTCCGTCCAGACCTCAGGGAAAGGCTCCCCCGAACATGATGCAGGAAGAAATCCCAGGGGAAATAATGTGGCTCAAAGAGAGCCCCCCCGAACCACCGAAGCCTTGACAGCGTGAAGGATCAGGGCCGCGCACTTCCCCGAGGCAGCTTGAGGAGGAACGCTCGAATCCAGCAGTTAAGAGAGGCTCAGGCACGCACCCTGGGGCCCGCGCCGCTCGCTCGCCCGCCAAGCCCGCCGCTGCGCTCCGAGTGGCGCGCTATGCCCTGCCGCCGGAGCGGCCGCTGCGGCGCGGCCGCGGCAGTAGTTGGCGCAGCCCTGGCGGTGGCCGCGGTGCGCGGGCACGCGGCCTTGCTGGAGGCCTTCGCCGGGCCGGCTGCGGGGCCCGCCCCGGTGCGCGGGGCGCGCCTGCGCGCTGCGGCCGCCAGCCCCGGCCGCGGGGCGCCGGCCGCGGCCCGTCGTGCCGCCGTCGAAGCGCTGCGGCGGCTCGAGCGGGAGGACCAGCTCGGGCGGGCCCGTGGCGGCAACCCCCGTGCGGAGCGCCAGAGCGGCGTCCGCTACGTCTATTGGTGCACAAGACGGGGGACGTGGCGTCTGCGTTACAGGATCAAAAACGGCCCAGACAAAGGTCGCCAGAAGACGCCCTCTTTCCGCCCGAAGGACGAGTCGCCGGAGGAGGTGGAGCGGGCGCGGCGCGCCGCCGTCGAGGCGCTGCCGCGGCTCGAGCGGGAGGACCAGCTCGGGCGGGTCCGCGCACTCAGCAGAAACCATTCGGAGCGCCAGAGCGGCGTCATCAACGTCCTCTGGCACACAGGACTGAAGTGTTGGCACGTCTTTCAATCGCTGCGCTCATTCCGCCGGCCCGTATTGTGCCATCGCGGGGTCTTGGGGGGTCTTGGGGGCCTTTGGAAGCTTCGTGGGAGTTTCTTGGGAACTTTGGGAGGCCTCGTGGATGGCTCTGGGTGGGCCCTCTTGGTGGTCTCTTGGGGGGGTCTGCCTGGCCTCTTGGGGGCCTCCTGGGAGCTTCCTGGGGGTCTCTTGGGGGCCTCTTGGGGCTTTCTTGCGGCCTGTTGGGGGCCTCTTGGGGCTCTCTTGGGGGCTTCGTGGGGCTACTTGGGGGCTTGTAGGGGCATTTCGGGGGCGTGTTTGGGCGGGAGGCTCAACATTTCCGTTCAGGTTGCCCCTGTGGACCTCAATCATGGGGCCGTCTTGGGGCCTCTTGGACCGTCTTGAGGGTTTCTTGGGCCTTCTTGGAGCGCTCTTGGGCCGTCTTTGAGCGGTCTTGAGGGTCTCTCGGGCCGTCTTGGGGTGATCTTGGGGGCCTCTTGGACCGCCTTGAAAGGTGTGAAAGACGAAGAGGCGGATATGTTAAAAATGCACGCTTTCCGAAGGGAATGAGACGATTTTTGCTTGTGGGAGCCCTCTTGGGACGCCGCTTAGGGACCTCTTGGGGCGTCTTGAAGGCCTGTTGGGCCGTCTTGAGGCCATCGTAGGCGTTTGGGGGTGATATTTCGGCGTCTCCCGGCTCTCTTGGACCGTCTGGAGGGCTTCTCGGGCCCCTCTTGGACCGATTTGGAGCCCTCCTGGGCTCCGAAAAAGAGTTCTTGAGGGTTTCTTGGGCCTTCTTGGAGCGCTCTTGGGCCGTCTTTGAGCGGTCTAGAGGGTCTCTCGGGCCGTCTTGGGGTGATCTTGGAGGCCTCTTGGACCGCCTTGAAAGGTGTGAAAGACGAAGAGGCGGATATGTTAAAAATGCACGTTTTCCCTAAGGGAATGGGACGATTTTTGCTAGTGGGAGCCCTCTTGGGACGCCGCTTAAGGACCTCTTAGGGACCTCTTGGGGCGTCTTGAAGGCCTGTTGGGCCGTCTTGAGGCCATCGTAGGCGTTTGGGAGTGATATTTCGGCGTCTCCCGGCTCTCTTGGACCGTCTGGAGGGCTTCTCGGGCCCCTCTTGGACCGATTTGGAGCCCTCCTGGGCTCCGAAAAAGAGTTCTTGAGGGTTTCTTGGGCCTTCTTGGAGCGCTCTTGGGCCGTCTTTGAGCGGTCTAGAGGGTCTCTCGGGCCGTCTTGGGGTGATCTTGGAGGCCTCTTGGACCGCCTTGAAAGATGTGAAAGACGAAGAGGCGGATATGTTAAAAATGCACGTTTCCTAAGGGAATGGGACGATTTTTGCTTGTGGGAGCCCTCTTGGGGCGCCGCTTAGGGACCTCTTGGGGCGTCTTGAAGGCCTGTTGGGCCGTCTTGAGGCCATCGCAGGCGTTTGGGAGTGATATTTCGGCGTCTCCCGGCACTCTTGGACCGTCTGGAGGGCTTGCCGGGACCTTGCCGGGACCTTGCCGGGACCTTGCCGGGACCTTGCCGGGACCTTGCCGGGACCTTGCCGGGACCTTGCCAGGACCTTGCCGGGACCTTGCCGGGACCTTGCCGGGACCTTGCCAGGACCTTGCCGGGACCTTGCCGGGACCTTGCCGGGACCTTGCCGGACCTTGCTGGGACCTTGCCGGGACCTTGCCGGGGTACTTTTCGTCCGGCGACCCCCAGGGCCCGCCCCGCGCGCGCGAACTAGAAATATTGTTGAGCAGTTACCGGAGGTCTTAGCGTGCCTCTGGCCCGTTGGGCCTGCGAAATTTCGTGATTGAGAACGGCCCAGACAAAGGTCGCCAGAAGACGCCCTGTTTCCGCCCGAGGGACGAGTCGCCGGAGGAGGTGGAGCGGGCGCGGCGCGCCGCCGTCGAGGCGCTGCGGCGGCTCGAGCGGGAGGACCAGCTCGGGCGGGTCCGCGTTCGAGATGCGGAGCACCAGAGCGGCGAAAAGCACATCGTGTGGCACACAGGACGGAAGTTGTGGCGCGTTTCTTTCATGATTAACAACGGCCCGGACAAAGGTCGCATGGCGAGGCCCGAGTTCCTCCCGAAGGACGAGTCGCCGGAGGAGGTGGAGCGGGCGCGGCGCGCCGCCGTCGAGGCGCTGCGGCGGCTCGAGGAGGAGGACCAGCTCGGGCGGGCCCGCGCTCGAGACCGTGCGGAGCACCAGAGCGGCGAAGAGCACATCGTGTGGGAAAAAGGACGGAAGGCGTGGCGCGTTTATTTCATGATTGAGAACGGCCCAGACAAAGGTCGCCAGAAGACGCCCTGTTTCCGCCCGAGGGACGAGTCGCCGGAGGAGGTGGAGCAGGCGCGGCGCGCCGCCGTCGAGGCGCTGCGGCGGCTCGAGCGGGAGGACCAGCTCGGGCGGGCCCGTGGCGGCAACCCCCGTGCGGAGCGCCAGAGCGGCGTCCAGAACGTCCATTGGCACACAGGACGGGAGACGTGGCGTCTGCGTTACAGGATCAAAAACGGCCCAGACAAAGGTCGCCAGAAGACGCCCTCTTTCCGCCCGAAGGACGAGTCGCCGGAGGAGGTGGAGCGGGCGCGGCGCGCCGCCGTCGAGGCGCTGCGGCGGCTCGAGGAGGCGGACGGCGCGCTCGGGCCGGGTAATTAGCTCGGGCGCGCCCCGCGCCGGCCGCAGCCGCGGGAAGGCGCCCGCCGCGCTTGCCGAGGAAGAGGGGTAGCGGCTGGCCGCCTTCCGTGGGCGCTACACCGTCGATGACGGCATTTTCGAGCTTGGGGTATCATGTAGGAAAAAAGGACCTCGGCGTGGATCATCTAGCAAAGAAGTACGCACGAAACCGACAACATGCACAGGGAATGGAGGTCCGAGCGATGGCCAGTCTTTCGGGACGCCCGATCTCCACGGTAGGCTCGACAAGTAGTGCTTGGAGAGCCGTCGGTGGTTTGTCCGACCTGCTCTTGGAGCATTTTTTGGCTGGGGCATATCTTTGGTTTCGTAGAAGACGTCGGCTTTAGGTTCTAAGAAAGAGCGCGTTCTATGGTCGCTTGGAGGGGTGGGGCTTGGAACCGGCCCCCCCCCCTCCCGTGACGGAGTGGGGGGGGGCTTCGAACCCCCCCCTAACCTCTCCTTTCTCCCTCTCCTCGGCTGGCGGCGGCGGCGGCGGGGACGACGATTTCCTTTTGTGGGCCGGCGCCGGCGCCTGCGGCGGCGGGCGGCGGCGGCGGGGAGGGTCGACGAGGACGACGGTTGTGGTGGTGGTGGTGGGTTGTGGTGGTGATGGTGGTGGTGGTGGTTGTTGTGGTGGTGGTGGTGTGGTGGTTTGTTGTGGTGGTGGTGGTTGTGGTGGTGGGTGGTGGTGGAGGTCGTGGTGGCATGGTGGTGGTATGGTGGTGGTTTGGTGGTGGTTTGCGGTGGTGGTGGTGGGTTGTGGTGGTGGCGGTGGTTTGTGGAGGTGGTGCTGGTGGTGGTGGTGGCGCTGGTGGTGGTGATGTTGTGGTTTGTGGTGGTGGTGGGTTGTGCAACTGGTAGCGGTGGTGGTTGTGGCGGCGGTGGTTGTGGCGTGGTAGATTGTGGTGGTGGTGGTACTGGTGGTGGTTTTTGTGGTGGTGGTGGTGATGGTGAGTTGTGGTGGTTGTGGTGTTGGTGGTGGTGGCTGTGGTGGTGATGGTGGTGGTTGTGTGGTGGGTTGGTGGTGGTGGTGGTGGATTGAGGCGGTGGTGGTGGTGGTACTGGTGGTGGTGGTAGTGGTGGTTATCGTCGCTGCGTCCCCGCCGTCGCCTGCGCCAGCGCTGGCGCTGCTGGCCGCCGCCAGGGCCGGCGCCGGCGTTCGGGTGTGGGGGGGTTTTGAACCCCCCCCCCTCGGCGCCACGGGGGGGGGGGGAACCGCTTCCCCCCCCCATCTTGGGCTGCCTCTGGTCATCGTCGCTGCGTCCCCGCCGTCGGCGCTGCTGGCGGCCGCCGGCGCCAGCGCGGGGGGGGGGTTTGAACCGCATGTGGGCCCAATCCCAACCCACTGGGCCCAATCCCAACCAACTGGGACCAATCCCAACCAGTGCGAACAGCAAACTGGGCCAAATCCCAACCATCTTGGGATAGCCCCACAATAGGATTTTAAGTGTAGAGAAGCCCAAGACGACTGCGAAAACCAAGTGACACTCCTTATGTCAACGCAGAGGATCTGGAAACCAACATGCGTGCTCGAGTTGAAATTGGTCTCAGTTTTTGGTCTGCGCACGAGCACTACGTTAAGATGAGCAAGAGGGCACCGGAGCGTAAGCAAAAACGCACCGAAT